CTTATAGCACATTAAAGTGACAGTGCATGCAGTAGCAGCAATGATGCATCAGTTTTTTGTCAGGGTATGTATCATTAATGACCATACATTATGTGTTAATTTTTATAGATGTTTTTACTCCAATGGCAAATTGTACTGATGGTGATGTTAGATTAGTTGGTGGTAGTACAGTATATGAAGGAAGAGTTGAAGTGTGTTTCAACAAAGCATGGGGGACCATCTGTGGTAGATATTACGGCTGGAGTAGTGATGATATTCGTGTAGTGTGCAGGCAGCTAGGACATGTAGGGCTAGGTAGATCAGAGAATTGATTGTTAAACTGCATGAGTCATTTATTTATAGGCTCATCCAGTTATTCTCAGTTTGAGCCTGGTGTAGGCCCTATTTTCATGTCTTATGTTGGCTGTTCTGGATCTGAAAATAATTTATTTGAGTGTTCTTATAGTCAACCATTTCATTATTCCTATTGCAGCCATTCTGTTGATGCCGGGCTCACTTGTGAAGGTAAATTTAAGTGATTTGTTATACTATTATTTATGCACCACTACACATGCAGCTCCTTGTCAAAATGGTACAGTGCGCATAGTTAGTGAGTCTGGCAGCTATTTCAGAAGATATGGACGTGTAGAAGTTTGTGTGGCCAATGAGTGGGGAACCATTTGTGATGATTATTGGAATGACATGGCAGCAACTGTAGTCTGCAAAATGCTGGGCTATTCACCTTATGGTAAGACAAAGCATCTGCCAAGATATGAACCAATCAATAACTTTATGTAGGAGCCAAGGCTTTAACTAATACTTTTACTGAAGGATCCTTGCATGTTCACTTTACACATCTCAATTGTAGTGGCTCAGAAAAATCAATTTTTCAATGTGCTTACAACGAACTAGCTGGTTATTCTTGCAGCAATTATGACGATGCTTCCGTCATTTGTCAATGTAAGATGTCATTGCTTTGTTGTTTTATGACTTTCACACTTTCTGTTATAGTAAATGATGTACAGCATTCAAACTGCACTACTGGTGATATTAGACTGACTGGTGGATCCAATGAATATGAAGGAAGAGTCGAATATTGTACTAATGGAGTTTGGGGCTCTGTCTGTGATAATAGTTGGGACAATAGAGAAGCATCTGCTGTCTGTAGGCAACTGGGATACAAAGGTTAGGTGGCTCATTAAACTTGTGTAGTTTATATTTTTGTATAAAGGTTCATCCTATAAAGCTAATTCATATTTTGGAGTTGGGACTAATCCATTGCTTATCTATTATACATATTGTTCATCAAGTGCCACCAACTTGCGTGACTGCAGCTTTCGCTGGCTCCCTTCCTATTCTAGTTCTTGCAATAACTACCATGAAGCTGGTGTGATATGTGAATGTAAGTGCATCTTTTTTCTTTAATTATTTAGAAGCCTATCATAGCCAACTCTTGTACCAATGGACAAGTTAGATTACATGATGGTGATTCAGAAAGACGTGGTAATCTACAAATTTGTTATAATAGCACCTGGCAGGCAGTTTGTGGACAAGGAAATTCAAGAGTTGATAATAACCTTGCCTCAGTTGTATGCAGTGCATTAGGATACTCAAGATATGGTATAAATTG